GTCTCGTTTCACCCACGTGGTTGTTATTGGGGCATCTGGTGCACTGGATGAGGTACAAAGAGAAATAGTATTGGATCAGCATATCAAAGGCATATCATGCACACATACGCAAGGGATCAGAGCTCGCTCTGGGTGCTCATGGCCTTATGAGCAAGGTGCAGAAATGGGACTCAACAGACTTGGGTTCTTCTCTTCCTGGCTTTGCTGCAGACTTTTGGTGTGATTTTGGGCAAGTCACTTCTGCTCTCTGCCCCTGCTTCTGCAGCGGTGATAATCCTGGAGGGGTGGGAGGGTGTTGATGTGAGGCTTAGTTTATTAACATATGTCAAACTCTATGAGATCCGGATGTCTGTAGAGAAGGGCAAAGTGTACTCTCACTTATGCATTTTCTGGCACCCAGGTGCTTGACTATGCATCCTTCATGTTGCTTCAGCATAGCATTTAATACATAGCGCACACACCTTTTAAATGATTAAACAACTGTGCCGACCCCGGGGAAAAGAGCAGCAGCAACCCCCGCTTTATCTCTCTTCCTCATCCTCATTTCCAGCACAGTTAATTATCTGAACACAGAGCTGCCACCTTCCAGAGCGACAAGGAGACGGAGTCGGCAAGTGCTTTTGCTTGCTAGTCCGTGACCTCGGCGTTCTTTGTATGATTGTATGCGTGTGAGCGCATGCGCCCCGGACGGTTTGATGCATTTTTTTCCCCCCAGCGCAGAGCATGTCCGCTGGTAGGATTTATTATAAATGAATACTGAAGCACCCTCTCCTTTCGCCTGCACTTTCTCACGCTACTTTGTCCAGTGGCCATGAGGTAATTCACCAGCTTTTCCCCAGGGGAGGCCTTTTAAACCATTAAATCCAAGAGCAGGTATGAACAAGGTGCTTGGGAGACTCTAATAATACTGCAAGCACAACACCTGGAAATGTTTGCCTACAAAGCCAGCGTGAGTCAGCTGCAGACATCTGCCCAGAGGTGTCCTCCAGGTTTCTTCATCTCGCATCATGAGTCTTCTGTTCTCGGAGACGGCTGGACTACTTTTAGAAATAGAACTCACAGTCCAAGCCAGGCAGTTTGTAGCAGGTGTGGTTTGGTGTCTGGCGACTGGGAAGAGGGGTGTATTTGTGTCTTTTTGGGGATTGAACTGATTGCATTATTGCAGCGAATCCAATTGTTAGGGGATGAAGAACAGTCTCACTTTCCTGGCAGGAAGGAAATTTGAGCACTTGAATCAGTGGAAAACGCTGTGTTCGGAGATGCTTCCTCTGCTGATCTGATCCTCAAATCTGATCACGCCTCTAGCCGCGGTTGTTTTAATTAAACTCAGAGGAATTCTGCACAATGTGCTGCAAGATTAACATTTTTGTTTAATTAGAAACACTCAGTAATAATAGTTGTACCAGGCCTTCCCCAACGCGCGCGCACGCTTACACTCACACGCGCACCCTGCCAGTCAAGAGGGCTATTCTCTCTGCGGATTAATTGGTTCGTGAAATGAACAGATTCGGGTTTGAGGCAGGTGGAGTAGCACCACCAGGAAACAGAATGCGAGCGGTAATTAATAATGATGTCATCTTCAGCCAATCAGACATCGGCTACTTTAACAACCTGCAACGGCCTGCTTTAAAAAGGGAAGGGAATGCATTAAAAGCCTGGCTGAAGTGTGCATAGGCAGAGCAGTTCCCAGGCTGCATCTTTGTCCTGAGCTCACTCTTGGATGGGCCTGCGTAGTGCAGCCGATCTGAGCTGCTCAGAGACCGCTGCAATACCCATCCACAGCTGGGTGAGCTAAGGACACGGTCCCTTGGTTTAGCTCACTCCCTTCAGTTCATTTCTGTATTCCAATACGGAAAGCAAATGAAGACCTTCCCTTGACTTTCTTTTGAAACACGGTTTGGGGCTCCAGTCCTGCAAGTTGGCAAGTGTCTCTCAGCTGGGAGTGGAGGGCTCCCCGCAGCACGCGGGATCGGGCCGGTAATCCATGGCATGTCTCAGCTGCTTTTTTTATTATTATTAATCTTTTACTTGGGTAGCACCCAAAATCCCTCCCCCGGGTTGCGGGACCCCTTGTATTAGGTGACGCACAAAGATGTAGCAAGAGAGAGTCCCCTGCCTGCATGTGGAGTGGAAACAGAATAATACTGAGCCACTAAGAAAGCCCCCGTCACCCAAGTATCCTAAAACGCGCCACACACATGAAATGGCAAAACAATCTTGAGAGGGACCCGAAGAGGGTTATTAATACCCCCATTTTACCAGATGGGCAGAAATGGGGCACAGAAAGGGGACTTGTCCGAGGTCACAAAACCGATCTATAGCAGAGCCAGGGACAGAACCCAGCAGCCAATCTCACAGACCCCTAACCAGACTCCGCTATACGTTTAAAGGGTGAGAGAAGTTCTTCTTCATTCTGCCTCGCAGATGGATTGGATGCTGTAAACATGGGCTGGTGTATTAAACTGGGGCAAGCTGTAACTGCAGTGCCATCCCTTAGGCCTTGTCTGCCATAATGGTATCCGTTAGGAATGTGATTTTTTCCCCTGAGATAGTTATAACTGGTACAACTCCTAGTGTGGATGCAGTTGTATTGGTATAAAGGTGCCTAGTACACCAATATGACGTATTCCCCTTCCTGTATGGGAACGATAAAGCAGCTTTATGCTGATAGACCAGCGCCCGCACTAGGGGATCTGTACTGCTTTAGCTACACTGCTAAAACGTGGTACAGTTTGTGTGTGTAAACAAGCCCTTCGCTTGTACATTAACCTGACTTCTGCTTAGTGCTTTGCCCTCTTGACGGGTCAGTAGCTGCGAATAGAGACAGCAGGTCCCCATCGCTCTCTGGCATGCTCAAAGCAGGGAGGCTGCCTTTGAAAATTCAGACAGTCAAAGCATGTATACCATTAATCACTGCGGTATCCGAGCGTTGTTAATAACTACGTTTCTTAGGGCTTGCATAGTGCTCCGCTGCTTCCAAGCACTGTACAAACCTTGCCTCCCTACCCCAGCGATGTCCCCGGTTTTACAGGTGCGGAAACTGAGGAACAGCAAAATGAAGTAACTCACCTAAAACCAAATGCACAGTTAGCAGAGCCAGCATTAGGACCTGGGAGTTGTGGCTGCCTCTCATTTAAAAGAGAGGAGGCGTGGGGGAAGAAGCAGCAAGCTTAGGCTTCCAGTTCCTGTCTTTTGTCCCATTGTCCCTTGGGTTCAGCCGTATGTGTGGTACACAGCTTGGCCTGTGACCTGGGAACACAGCCGGGTGCGAGAAGGATGCAACCTCCTCATTGCATTTGAAATTGTCTGCGATGTTTCACAACCCTGGGCATTGTAGGCTGGGATTTTCAAAAGCATTCCGCATCGGCGTATCTCTGCTGCCACTGCCAATGAAAACGCCCATTGTCTTCAGTGCAAGCAGATTTAGACCAACACTGAGGGCTTTGGAAAAATCCCATCCTTAAATTTTTGTGCCGTGCCCTATCCACCCCACCGGACTTGAACCCAAGGATCCTTGGGCTCTTAATGCATCAACACTGGCGTTAAAGGAGAATCTCTGTAAGCTGTCCCCATGTTGCTTATATCCTCTTTGAAGGCTGCCAGGGGTGGGTCATCACTAGGAAAAATGGTGTGTCCTTAACTCGTGTTAGCCAACATGTGGTACCTAGCGCAACGTAAAATCCTAGGGAATGCAAGGCAGTCTGTAGTTTTTAACCAGAGCTGGGCGATAAAATTTAGCCAAAACATTTGATGTTTCAGCTAAAACAAAATTTTTTTTTTGGCCAAATTGTATCTCTTTCAACAAAATTTTGTTGGGAAAAAGAACTTGAAAAAATATTTTTTGAAATGTCTGAGGCCCGCTTTTGACATTTTCCGAACAGAAAGTTTCAATACATTTGTTTTGAAATGACATTTTGTTTTGAAATTTACTTATCATATATATTAAAAAATGGTTAAAATTTGAAACAAAATGTTTTGATTGACCTACAATGAAATTATTTTTTCCAGAATTTCGTTTTATGGAAAATTTCAAAATTTTGATTTTTTTTGTTCCAATTTGAGATTTTTGATTTCTCCCCCCACTCCCCCAATCTCCACATTTTTTGTGGGATGGAAAATCCATTTTCCAAGTCACTCTAGGTTTTAACATGCGTTAGCTTAGTAAAGACTATGGGACAGCCTTGCCAATGTTCGTTTTTATGAGTTAGCTAACTCGAGTTAAGACTACACCTTTTTCCCTAGGAAAGACAAGGTCTAGAGCAGTACTCTAGACTAGGGACCGGCTTGCTGCGTTCCTAATGTGTGTCAGGGAAATCTCAGGGACAGGCAAGGAGGCTGCTGCGGTCTGGTGCCAGTCCATGGACCGGTCATTGAGAAGCCCTGGCCTAGAGGACAAGAGGGTAACTGTGAGCTGTTTTGTAGCTGTTGGTGTTTCTCTCTCTTGTCCTAGAGTCGCAACAATTGAAATTAATAACCTTAAAAATCATGCTCTGTCTGAAAGAGTTTTGCTTCCTGTTGTTACAAGTGTCCCCTAAGGTAACTACAGCTGAAAGATTTTTCCCCTCCTTTCTCGGCTAGTTTCCACTATCCATTTGACATGACTTCATGTATAGTCACTTTCACTCTTGTGCAGTTGGCCGATTTCCAAGGCTCTGTGGGCAGTGAGGAAAAGAAGAACTTAAAAAAACCCGGAAAATGTGACCTGTTCAGATTGTGATGTCTTTGACTCAGGGATCGTCTTTCCATGTGTGCAGTGCTCTGCATAACAAGGCCTCGGTCGAATGTTTGGAGCCGCTTGGCTGTAATACGAATAATTGTAAAGCCACAACAATTGGGAGGGGGCCATATCTGAAAATAGTTTGAACTCGCTCTTTGAAATGGATTGGGTGTCTTGCCGACAGTCTCTTTAGAGTACTCTGTTGAATTAAGCCTCCCCGCTACCACCCCGATCTTGAAAGAGCACTAAACCAAGCCCCTCCTCTTTTGCTCTCCTCCCGCAGAAGACCAGCTGCCTTCCGGCTTCCCAAACATTGACATGGGACCCCAGCTGAAGGTGGTCGAGCGTACACGGACGGCCACCATGCTGTGCGCAGCCAGTGGGAACCCAGACCCGGAGATCACATGGTTCAAAGATTTCCTGCCCGTCGACCCCAGCGCCAGCAATGGGAGGATAAAGCAGCTGAGATCAGGTAAGGTCTCCTTGCGAGCCCAGTAGGGAGTGAACCCTGGAACTGGCCCAAAAGAGAGTGCTCAAGCAGAACTTTCTGGGCGGAATGGTGGCTGGTGTGAGCCATCCCCGTTGGCCTGTGGATTAGAACATAAGCAGTTCTACAGAAAGTCCTGGTAAAACGGCTCTGAGCTCCCCTAAGGTGGTTGGGTTGGTGGTGGTTTCCTTCATTTTCTTCATCCTCTTCTGCACCCATCCCCCAAGTTGATTGACAGGAAACCAAACTCCACTGAGAACCTGGTTCCCATCCCAGGGAAGCTGGTAATTTGGCAACACTCGTGGAATGGTGCTCTGCCTAACCAGGGGGACCTACAGGAGTGGAGGGAGAGTTGGGTAACAGGGGTGGGGAGGTGGGTCATGCTCAGACGTTGAGCTGTATAAATGAAGGAAGGAGGGTGACAGCACCAAGCGTGGAGCTTTCAGCCCTATCCACTTTGGGATCAGGACCACAGCCACGACAGCTGTGTATTGTCACAGCTGGGACGGTCCCATCCATGGTGTGGACGGGGCCTTCCGTAGCCTGTGGCAGAACCAGGCCTCTCATAGGATCCCTTTGGTATCTAATCCTTTTGGGTCTATCGCCTTCCCGAAGCCATCGCCGGAGAGCAGTTCTGAGCATTCTCAAGTCAACCTTAGGTAGTGGGCGGCAATGGAGTGGTACTCCATGAATAGATGTACCCCAGCTCTGTGGCTGTTGTCAGTTCTCTGTCTTCCCCCATCTGTTCGTCTACCTGTCCTTTGCTGGTTTTGTGAATGTTAGTGTGGCATCTTTCATTGTTCACATTTCAGGAGCTGTTTGTGTGTATGCGTGTGCGTGTAAGTAAAATACATGCGTGTCTGTGCATGTGGTTTTATTTTTGAAAGCTACAGATAAAGCAAATTGTCCCGTTTAAAAATATCCATCCTTTCTCTCTCGGAAGCACAACGTCACCTTTGGGAGCTTCACCTCTCAATGGAAACTAAAACAAAAGCAACCTTTTAGATTTTTGACCACAATTCAGACTTTCCTCTTTAAGCCAGTCTGGAGAGTACACAGCTATCTTATTGGGCTTAGCTAGGTCGCCTCACTTTAGTTGCCCAGAGGAGCATAACCCTTGTTCGGCTAAGAGATGGAGCATTTTTAAGAGCTTTTCCTGGCACAGGAACAGGGGAGGGAAGGGGGCAGAGGCTTTAGCGTGGGAACTGGGGTTGCTTTGTGGGAGCCTCTTCTGAGGCTCAGCCATTTTACAAGTCAGTCAATGGGGCAACAGCCAGTTACTTCTACCCAGGCCGCTCCTGGCTCCGAAATCTTCAGATCTGATTCTTGTAATGCAAGATTTGAATGTCAGAGAACATGACAACCTAATTGCTCTTTTGTCCTGTTTGGCATAGGGTGAGTTCAAAGATTTTTGGTGCTGGAAGGGCCAGCATTGACTGGTTAAAGGTTAATTTCCTTGTTTACCTCCTCATTCTAATTACATACTGTTTCCTCCCCATCAGATATTTTGCCTTCCTATTGCCCAGAAAAATTAATTTCCTAATTGCTTTGATTTCTAGAACTTTATAACAGCAAAGGTTCGGCACAAGAGAACACTGTCTCCTAAATGTAAGGCCTACATTTCAGATTAAAAAAAAAAAAAAAAAAAAAAGTGGTGGGGATTTGTAAAATTTAATGAATACAATTTGAAAAGAACATCGAAGCAATTTAGGATCTTAAATCCCCTCCAGGAGACTTTAGGCTCCTGAGTCACTGAGGCACTTCTAAAAATTTTCCCCAAGACGAATGGAAGCATTTTGGGGGCAGTTATATATTTAGGCTGAAAGTTTCAAAAGTGCCTGTGTTTTATAGAATCATCGGGTTTTGGGTGCCCAACTTGAGATATCTTAAAGGGGCCAGACCTTCTGACCTCTGAAAATCAGGCCCCATTAAGATGACATAAGCTGGGCACTCATAAACTAAAGGACCCAAAATCACAAGGCACTTTTGAAAACACAGTCCATCTTTGTTTATTATTTCAGTGACAAGGATTGTTATACTTATACATTCTGTTGCATCACTGGAAACTCAGATACAACTTTATTGGGCTGGTCCATAAGACCCACAAATTAATTTCACCGAGGCCCCCATTCAGCACAGCTCTTATGCACGTGCTTGAGTGCTTGCTGAATCAGGATGGGTTCTTGATTTGAGAGCCTTTAAACACAAATGAAACTGATCTCCCTTAGTTTCATTGCCTACATGCCGAGTGAAATGCAAATAAAGTTAACCAGTATAAATACTGAAAGATAAATTAGAATATTAAAATGCTTTGTGTCCATAACAGGAGGTATTACTAACACGTTTTCAGATTATTTTTAATACAATTATGATCGCCACAATATCCCTTTATATTTCCTAGCTGGGCTCGATTTGGTATTTCATTTAGAACCACCTACTAAATTCACCGTTAGACTATCATCCCAATAAATCGTTTAGCTTCTGTACAGGATGTTTGTTTCTCCGGATAAATCTGCTTTTTAGGGACCTGGGTGGAATTGACATCATTTATAGCTGTTTAGAAATTCAGTCTTCTTGAAGCAGTAAAGTCACAAAACACTGAAAGGGACCTATTGTCCTTTTTACAGACCTGTCACTTCTTTCTCCACTTCAGAGGGGAGTGTGTTCTATTGGTTAGAGCAGGAGATTGACCAACAGGACTCCGAGGTTCTATTCCTGCTTTGATTCCCTTTGTGGCCTGATTTTCAGAGAAGCTGAAGTCACTGGAAGCTCCATACGCTCAGCACCTCTGGGAAACAAGACCACTGATTTCTGTCTCTCCATTCACCCATTTGCCAAATGGGGATGATGAGATGGCACAAGGCTGTGGCCAGGCTTTTTAAATTATTGTTTCCGAAGAGCTTGTCTATTCTCCGATGACAAGTCCTATAGAAATGCAGCATAGTATATCCGTCTTATAAAGATGGAAATAAGGACGCTAGGCAGACCTGCCAGGTGTCATGCATCTTGCAGGGCTCATGCATTCCTGCACAACTGATAGAATGTCATTCATTTACTCAGTGCCCTGTAGCCTAGGGGAAGGTGCATTGAACTATAAGACAAGAGCCCATGAATTCTAATCAGAGCTCTTTCACTGACTGTTCTTAATATTTCTGTGCACTTCACAAGCCCTTATTAAGCAAGGCCGTATACCTACCTTATAGGAGGCAACTATCAGTCATCAATTTTTCAGATAGGATAACTGAGAGGTTGGATAAGGTCATTGCAGTCAAGAACCCAGGTCTCTATTATGACAGACCCAAATCTCATTCACTTTGCCACACTACCTTTCAGAAGAAATAGGCCAAAATATGTGCTTGTGTAACCCACACTAACACAGGGTGGATCTTTGTTCCTGTCTAGTGGCTAGACAGCAGAGAAGTTTGAACCTGCTACTGCCCAGCGCTAATGTAGTTAGCTCAAATAGTGGAGCTTATGCTTTCCGTTCTAGAGATCCCAAGTTTAAACCCAGGAGATAAGCCAAACTAAGACTTCTTTACCCTTGGCTGTGCTGTCTCTAACTCTAACCACCATACTCTAGTCCTGGAAACAGGAATCACGGAATCCTGTTCTCCAGCATTCTAAATGCTAGTTCATAAATAGTTGTCTCCCACTCGGTCGGCTGCTCCTTGCAGAGAAGGGTATGCCTTCCTCCTACAATAGCTGAAGTAAAGGAGGGTTGCGTTGTAGGTCTGATGGTTATGGGGTCAAACCTGGGTGGTGACCCAGGTGGAGTGAAATCAATGTTAGCGTAAGGATGCTGGAATAATTGTCTAAATTATTTTACATTGCAGGACATTGTATGGGGATGTGAATTTAGATGTTACATTAGTAAAAAAAAATTCCCCTTAGGGTTGTGCATCGCGTGCTTGTATTTTGGTTAACAGGGGCTGTCACTTTAAGAACTGGGTGTGGCTGACTGCATGTGTGTTTGTGAGGAATGTAATGTGTGGGAGATGTTGCCTGAGAGTGCAGAGCAGGCCTGTGTGAGCTCCACAAATGTCCAAACTCAATTTGATACATTTATCTTTCGAGAAAGCAAATCTCGCTCTTGAGGGTGTAGCACTCGCTCATATTGGGGTGCGGGATGCCTCAGGATATTGCTAATGTGCTGCAGAGCCTTTTGCCTGAAGGGCATCAATAGGAAGCCTGCTCAGCTCAATAGGGATTAAAAGTCATTGCCCGTTAATTGATATGTGGTGGCCCCTGTACAAGATGACTTTAATGGGTTTCCATTACAGATCCCACATCACAAGCTCACCACCACTGTTGGCACTGCTTGGCAGGCTCACCAGAAAGGCCAAGAACCTCATGGGCCATAGAGACTCAAATGCCTGTTACCTTTAGAGGCGCTGTCCCCAGATTGGGACTGAGATGTGCTGCCAGGGCAGTGTGTATGGGAACCATCCCGTGCTGCTGCTCTGTATAGGAACAGATTCAGTAGGAGGAAATGCACCCCGTTGAGTTAGACTGAGTTTATGGCTGTATGCAAACTAATTGCAACCATGAAAATTAGCTCATTACTTGATTTGCATAAAATATCACACACGGAGCTGCCCAAAATTGGCAGTTCTGTCTGTACCTGATTCTCTTTTATGCTAAAGCCTTTACATTTCCCTAGCTGTGCAGAGGGGCTTTACCGTGGGCATATATTCCATTTGCACTCACTTTGAGGTCCCTTTATACTGCTGGAGCAGGGCAGTATGGCTTCAGTGTTACTAAGGATCAGGAAATCTGAATTTAGGGATATTATCCATAGACGCCTTTTTCCATCTAGGATCCGTTCCTCCCTAACACTTTCCAGGTTATGGGAAATAATTTAACTCTGACAGACATTGGGCCAACTAACCCTGAGGGTCCCTGAAAGAATTAAAAGCTGGGATTTTTCAAAGGAGCATGAAGAAGACATTCAAATTTGGGTACCCAGCTCCCTGAGGTCTTTTTGA